CGGAAGCGACAGAATCTAACATGAAGGAGATTCAGTACCTCATGAACAAATTCTGTCAGCTGTCCGATATGACAATCAATTGGGGTAAAAAAACGGTAGGTTGGTGGATGCATCATCAGGGGGGGAGACCCCCAGAAAATCCACGAATCAYGTGGCTCCCCCACGATGACCCCCTRAGAGTTCTGGGGGCACAAATGACTGCCAAAGGAAAGCCGGTAACGAATGACGAATGGCTGGWTGGACCAGCGAAAGCCAAGTTTGAAAAATGGAACAACRAACACACATCAATTTTCGGGAGAGCGYTGGTCATTAATAATGTAATCYTGGCCACGCTSTGGTACAAAGCCATCCTATGGCCAATGAGTGACGWGGGTCTCAAAGCGCTAAAGCAACAACTCCTGGCCTTCCTCTGGAGAGGTGACAGCAACACGACCCACGTGATAAGCCGGGTGGCATGAGACTMAGTGATCCAGCCCAAGAAYAGAGGAGGAMTGGGAATCGTAGATCCAGCCACGCAGTTCCACGYCCTCACACTTCGCTGGATCYAGCACATTATTTTCTCATCTTCATCTYCGTGGCTACCCTTAGCMCTGGCCCAACTGGCGGACCTGGCCCCGGAAACCCCACCTGAAATTGATCCCCGGGTGTGGTTAGAGGACRGGTACTGGAAGATACCCAGGAAATATAGGAACGGAGATCCTGCGGACAAACACTGGGTACGCCTTCTACGTACCTGGAGGAGACTTCCCCCCCCCGACCGCTCCGCGCCAGATAGRTGGGAAGAGATATTCAGGCAACCTCTCTTTGGTAACCGCCTAATAACGGACTCCGAAGGAAGGATACGGTGCAGCTCGGACACTCCTTGGAAGGGATGGGTTAAGCACGGGACACGGAGAGTGGTGGACTTATGGGACCAGGAGACTAGGACTTGGAAAAACACGGAACAGATGCGTACCTGCCTGYGATACTGCCATCKTACGGAGAGAGCGTTAAACGAACTCATCGATGGCTTCCCCCTCCATTGGTACACCACCCTCCGGAAGGGYCCCTGCGTGAAAGAGGGGGACTGGCTGGGGCTACCCGACCGCAATAAGGAAGTTGGGAGGGTGCACATGACTGAGCCATCTCRCCTACTAATAGAAATMTTTTCCATCCAAAAAGATGATGGGCTGCAATGRAACAAACAACCCTTTATATGGAGGGAGAGGAAAGGAGTTTACCGCATCAGGGTCATTGAGGAGGAAGGTCACCCCAAGGTGTACTGCCCAATGACCTCGATCGAGRACCTCCCCCTGGACCCCGACGAATGGAAATGGACCCAGGGTACTWGGCCAGGGAAAGGGGGGGCAGTCACATTGTCTCTACATAAGCTTAAAGCTAAGTCGGTCTATCGTATGCTAAGACCCAAGAGGAGGCTGCGAGAAAGGGTGGAGGATAGATGGTACCGGCATCTCAATATTGACCGAAGCCTACTTAAGCCTATTCGATGGTTTGCACAGTACGGTTGCAGACCGGCCAAAATCTCAGCGCTCCAATGGCAAATAGAACACAGATGTTTACCTACTAACGACTGGCTCATTGACCATAACAGGCTTGAACAACAAGGGAAAGCACTCCCATGGTGCCGCAAATGCCTCCAAGGCTTCCCCGGGGGAAGACGGGCTGAAACCATCGAACATATCTTTCTGCAATGTCCGGCGTCAGTGCTCTTGTGGAGAACATGGGATAGGATTTGGCGGCATATTGTTCCGAATGAGGATTGGCCATGGGACTGGAGGGCTATACTCCTAGGGCACTACCCGCGATTCCGGGAGAATAGTTTTGTGGTGAATATGTTCAACTTGGGTAGAAGGAGCGTCCTATGGACCATATGGTGGAAGAGATGTATCCTTGAGAGAGAAGGAGCGCAGGTGGCGGAAGGAGAAGCTATGGAACAAATCAGGGCATTATTCCAATATGAAATAGCGTCCCAATGGAGAGCCGTTAAGGATAAACTGGATCAAATGAAACACCGGAGGGACATGTTCAAAGCTATATCTGGCTTCAGCAAAAACTGGCTGGGGAAGGAATGGGAGGGATGGGTGGCTGAGGTCAGGTGGTCCGGAAAAGCTCTGATGGAAAAGGGGCCACAAGAGGACCCAGAGCCTGAGATAGAAAGGGATTACCGATTGGTCTTCCATGATTGGACCAATGTTGATCCAGRGGTGGCATTACGGGCAGCCCAGGATTTCCTAGATCTCTTCCCCCCCCATCCACTTTCCCTAGCARAAATTCTASTGCCTGCAGCCCTGTAAGGATCGACAGACAGAAGTGGCAAAGTTTACCGCAGCCTCCATTCGGGTGTTTTGAATTGGGGGGCCACAGGCTTTCTGAYAATTTCTACTGAAGTACCCTGACTATCCTGACGGTGCTAGAGAGCCAAAGTCCTTTTGACAGTCGTTYACTRTTGTTTTCTGAMTGAGCAAAGAGGACGGTAAASAGTGACAGACTTGTAGCAGARTATACTTCAGCCTGAACAGTCTGCAYTCCGGTGTACGTTGGCTGTCTAGCCTGTGCCTGAGTCAGCAAAGACTCCTGTCTGTTCTTGGCTAATTTTGTTTTGCAGTAGCTTAGCTGAGTCTGGCATGTTGCTATTCTAACCTGTTTACTAGCCTGYGTCTCAGCTAGCAAAGAATCCTGTTAGCTCTTGCCAATTTTGTTTTGCAGTAGCTCAGCTGAGGYTGGCATGTTTCTATTATAACCTGTATAACCTGTTTCTGTTTTCTGGCAAATTCAATAGGGCGCCTGGAGGATGGATAGGGAGTGGTGGTAGGGAACGAAGGGAATCTCCACTGGTGCCCCCCAGTGGCCCCCTCGGCACCCGACCCTGCTATAGGATGGGAAGCTGGACCCGGTTTCC